TGTTGCGTGATGCAAACCTGGACCGATTCCCATGGGTGGAGTGTTTGCAGGCACAACACCCCCGGCAATCCAACACTCGTTTTGCCACCGCAGCAGCTTGACGAGACCCGAGGGAGGCATCCAGAGCACCTCCTCTTTAAAGCAACTTTCCGACTCGACTCTGCTGGCTCTCACTAACATTTTACCTATCAGCCGTCACCATTTCCTTGCTCAGTGCCTGCATCTCACTCTTCCGGCATCTCTTCGCGCCTGCTGGAGCTTTTCCACAGACATTGCAGACGCGCTCCGGCCCCCGGTCTAGGAACTTTGCTAAAGGCACGAGCAGCTCTCGCGCCCCGAACTCTCCAAGGGAAGGTCACTTCCGCCTCCCGGAGGAGGAGAGAAACTTGTCAGATTCTTGCCAATGACTTCATCTTGAAAATGGCAGGTCGAAAGATGGATGGACCAGTGAATTCAGAGCTGTTCTCTCATACTGCAAGTTCCTGCACTCCAGAGACATGTGCTCAGAAATTGCTTGATGAGAATTTCTCCTGAATATCTCATAGGTACCTTTCTGTTACCTTTCTAGGGTGCTTCCAGGAAAGAGCCCTGAGGCTTGGCTTTTTTGCAATAGGAAAATATTAATTACCATGATTCTGAGGGCACCGTCCTATTAATGGCACTGTTCATGCTTTTATGTCTCTGACCTCTGACCTCTTACTCTGCCCTAACTGGTCATCTAGGTGCTGTAATTTGGGGTGGGGGAGAAGAAACCTGCCTGCAATGCTGCTAAGACATTGGTGGTCTCCTGTCCCCCTCAAACTGCTCCCTGTACCACCTTTTTTTGGGGGGATCAATTTTCCAGTCCTGGAGAAGCTGTTCCTTCCATGCCAGGCATGAGGGGAGGGAGGGGCCAGAGTATGGATCCCCTGCCCTGACCATTCCCAACCTTGGATCTGGGACTCTAAAGCATGGAGTGGGCCCCCTGGGTGCTTTTTACCAGGCATCTCGGTTGACTCTCCCCATTGCCTTTCCCTTTAAAAAGCCCCAAATGAACAGACAACAAATTGCGGCATATCAAATAGCCAGAAGCATCAAAGTCACCTATGCACTGGAACTCTGATGGCCAGTGGGAGAACCATAAAAAGCAAGCAAACAATTCTAGAGAAAACGGCTTTGTGGAAAGACCCCTGGTGAGGTTGGGGTCCGGGGCTTGCTTCCCACCAGTGCCCCAAGAAGGCTGGCAATAAAGGGCAGGGAATTCCAGGCTCTTCCACCAATCATTCCTTGCAGAAATGTCAGTGTGGAAAGGGCGCCCTTAATGTCAGAACTGGTAAATGACTGTTCTCAACCACTAGCAAAAGGTGGGGTGGAAGGAGGACCACGGAAGAAGCCCGGAAGAATTTATGGCGCAATATCTTTCTACCTCTGAGGCAGCCCTAATTCAAAGCCTTCCAAAGGTAACCAAAGCTGTCTCTTGCACTTGTCGTCTGCCTATAATAAAACGCTCTGGGCTCTCACTCATCCTGCCCCTTTGGGTTTCTGCATGTGGAATTTTCTCTCCCTCCCTTCACTGGCAGAAAGGAGCAGAGAAGCTCTTTCGGATGCCCCGTTCAGCCCTGGCTCAATCTAGGTTAGAGCAAGCCGCACCAGGTGGACCTGGAACTTTTGGGAGACCTCCACCATTTGCTTTCCAGGTAATTGGGCTCCATCATCAAACTGCTGTAACTCTTAGGAAGTTTTGCCAAGTATTCCAATAAATTCTCCAATATTGGCCGATTTGATCAAGACCTTCCATGTGCTGGAGGAGAGAACAAGCACTCCAGAGACTGAGGACACAAATCTGAATAGAATCTCCATATGCTAATGCATGCTGATCCAGGCACGCTTGAAAGTAATTGCTGGCATTTATTGTAATTCCATAAGAGGCAAAGTCAGTCAATTTTCTCATCTCACTTGTCCCAAGTAAGATAAATCATGGAATGCATTTGCACCCTGACCTCAGTCACCGCAAATCAGTGGACCCAGTCCCACTTCCAAAGCTTAATTCTTTTGGTGGGGGAGCAGGGGAATTTTGGGGAGGAGAGAGTTAATCCTTCCCTCCCCAGCTGCAAACTTCCTTGAAAGTTGCCCCCACCCCAAATGTCCATTAAGCTGAGATGTTTTTTCAAAGCTTGCAGGGCCTCCAAAGGACATTCAAGACTTCATGGAACAGAGCCAAGCTCTGGAGCCTCTAATGACAATCGGGAAGGCTGGCCACACAAGGCCCCCCAGTGGAACCGTCCATGGTCCTGAATGCTGCCCTCCACCTCTGGCACCACGTGCTTCAGAGGGAATACGAAGCAGATTGATTACCCGGAGCTGCCAGAGGCCAGGAGATTCCAGACAGGATCCAAGGTCCCGGAGAGCAGCTGGGGCTTCATGGGCCCCAGCCCTAGCAGGGCCGCAACCATATACCCCGCTCCATCGCCTCTTCTCCAGATGCACTTCAGCTCCACACAGCTCCTTCCAGCTTTTTTCTTGGGCTTTCCATATCCCTGAGGACCCTCCTTGACCACCTCTGGGCCCATTTCCAGCCAGCACTTGTCCTTCCTGAAGCCCAGTGCTGTTAACTGTCCATGGAACGAAGTGGGAAGGAACTTTAGGAGCACTTGGAAGGCCCCCTCCTTCTCTATCCATTTCTCTCCCTATTGGCAACTGTTCCATCTCCGTGACCCTCCTTTCCCCCTCCCAGCAGCCTCCCATGCCCATCTGCCACCTCATCCCCCTCTTCTTCCTCTCTCAAGGAATCATAGAATAGTAGAGTTGGAAGGGGCCATGGAGGCCATCGGGTCCAACCCCCTGCTGTCGCGGGACACCAAGTTACACCATCACACTCAGATGGCTGCCCAGTTTCTTTCTGAATGTCTCCCATGTGGGAGAGCCCACCGCCTCTCCGGGCAGCCAGTTTCACTGCCATATGGCTCTGACAGTGAGGAAGCTTTTCCTGACGTCCAGCCTGAATCTGGGTTGTTGCAGCTTGACTTGGTTATTCCGTGTCCTACACTCTGGCATCAGCAAGAAGAGATCTTGACCTTCCTCTTTGTGGCAGCCTTTGAGGTCCTTCTAGAGGGATCTCATGTCCCCCCTCAGTCTTCTCTTCTCAAGGCTGAACATGCCCAGTTCTCCCAGTCTCTCCTCACAGGGCAGTGTTCCCAAGCCCTGGGTCTTTGTGTTGCCCTCTGCTCGACCCTTTCTAATTTACCTGCATCTTTTTAAAATCTTGGCAGACAGAACAGGGCACAGTATTCCAGGTGAGGTCTGACTAGTGAGGAGTATAGAGGAACTACTACTTCTCGTGATTTGGAAGCAATACTTCTGTCAATGTATCTCAAAATAGCATCTGCCCTTTTGGCAGCTGCATTGCATTTTTGGCTCATGTTTAGCCTGTTGTCCACAATTACTTCAAGATCTTTTTTCTTGTTCAGTTCTTGTTCTCTCCTTGTCTTTCACTGTGCACCTTCTGCAAGCATGAATCCCCTTCAGTGCCGTGTTCACAAGAATGGGGTTCTTGAGCCCTGGAGCCTGGCGATGAGGAGGAAGCCATTCTTGGTGGTCCATTTTGGTGGGGTGGGTCCCTGGGGAGCTATGCTGAGCACTTTTTCTGCTGCAGCCTTTGCTGCGTGTACCTGTGAGACCCTCCAAAGCCAAGATCACCTTTTCTGAGAGCTAGAGTGGCCCTTCCGGTGGCCTCACAGAAGAGGACTGCCCATGCACCCCATGGGGGGGGGTCCTTTGGCACCCCCTGGATTTCACACACAAGGCAGTCTCCTAGCTCATTCCCCCAAAACACACACACACACACACACACACACACACACACACACACACACTTGGGCAACCCTGCCAAACAGCAGCGGAATCTAGAGCCTCGTTTTTATGGCTCCAGATAAATAAGCAGAATGCCCAACTATACCAGCTCATAGAAAATCCAACTCTGTGTGCAAGCCACATATTTATGTGTACTCTATTAATAATAAAGTCAGCATTAATCATGATATTCCGCATTTACTGAGTATATATTTACTTCCCATCTGCTCTCCGACAGAAATGAGTTTATTTTATGTCTGCATAATCATACCAAGGCAGGTTTGTTTTATGTGTATTATTTCTAAGCCCCAAAGACAGGGCCAAATGTTTTTCAAAAATTCCTGCATGCTTTTTGGGGGAAATTCTGCTCTTTATTTCCCTTCCACATTTCCAAAGATGTTATATTTTTACCAGGTGCATATGCAGGAACCTGAAAGATAGGAAGGCTATTTCTAATTAAACCTCCACACTGTGGTGAAATGTAGTATCTTTCTGTTTGAATTACAGTAATTATTTCTAGATCCGCAGCTATTCATATAAATTAGCATATGAACATTCTATGCAATTTGATGTCTTCTTTTTTTGGTTGGGCAGTCAAGAAATAGAGGCTTGGACTTCCCCTAATTCTCCTTTTCCCAAAGGAACTGGGTGACCTGCCAGAATGGTTCCCAGATCATGGAACATGTGGGAGACCTGGAAGGCTCGCCAAGAAATCTCAGCTAGGATTGATAAAAGGGACCTGATCCGTGCAAGAGATTGGAGGAAAGTTGTGCATGGGATAGTGAAGGGTCTGACATGAGTTACACGAACAAAACCCATGCAAGTCACTGTGATGACACAGAAAGACAGAAATCGCTTTACAGTCTGGTCCAGAACAAGTCCTGCATCTGGCGGATGCTGAGCCTTTTCTTTCTGGTGTCAGGCCCACCCGTGTGAGTGGTACCCGTGTGAGTGGAAGCACAGGCCACCGATCAACCCAGGCGAGCAGTTTTCCCCCAGTCCCTCCGTCGGCTCTACAAGGCCTCAGCATCTGTTCCCTGACATTGTATTTTGCTTCAACCTTGATGGAAGGTCACATGTTTTGACCAGCCTTTGGTGCGGGCTAAGCCCACGGCGCTCTTCCTAAAACAAGCTCATCAAAGAGACTTAGCCGGGCAGGCAAGGATCCCTACCGTCCATCCGCCACCGTCTGTCGTCATGTCACAATAGACCTGGAAGCCCTCGGGGTAGTGAGTGGGGAAGACAGAAAAAACACCATCCTCTTCTTGTCCGCTTGTGTAGATGTCAAAGCAGTCCCGAGGCCGGGAGCCTGTACCAGTGTCGGGTGGAGAGGAGTTGGCGAGAGGGGGATGGAGGAAAGAGAGGACAGGGAGGGAGAGAAAACAGAGCAGGCTAATTAATTGGCTAAATTACAGCCTTGCTGTTTGAGTTTCTGGGTTCAGGCTCTGTCACTTAACTCAAACACCCTTTGCTTCATGCAGTAGCACAGCTGTCACTCTTAAACTTAAATGCAAATTATTTGTGGCCGAAAGAAAGCCATGAGTGGTGGTTGGGGGTATGTGCCTCTTTTTTTTGAGGGGGGGATTATCACCCCTGGCTTTTCCAAGTCATGAAGAAAATGGGTTTCAGACTCTCTGCAAGGGGTTTGCCCACTCGGAGTCCAGCCCATTAAGACAGAAGTACAGCATTTTTAAAAGCATCTCTTGAAGCCAAATTTCAATACACCCTTCAACATGATTTGTGAGGTATTGAATTTCAGCATGAACTCTGAGTGGAAATGTTCTGGAGTGGAAATGTTCTGGCGATTGGAGGCCCAAGTTACACAATCTGGGAGCTTCCTGTTGTCAGCGGGAAGGGTGGCTGGTCCCCCAGAATGGCTGCCTGATGGTCGGGAGAGGGTCCACTGGTGGATGGAAGCCCCTTGCGCATTTCAAAGAAGGTGCCCTTTGGAGACGAGGGAAGGCAGGGCTTGTGTCTGGGAAGGAACTGCCAGTTGAGCTTCGAGGAGGGAGTGGAAAGGAAAAGGAAGCGAATGAAGGAAACCAAGGAAGGTGCTGGCGTCTCCCAAGGACCTCCTATCCAGCGGAGACCAAAACTGGGCAGCAGTGCCCCGGGACTTAGGCCAAGGGGAAGGGCACAGCACCAGGGACGGCCCCAGCTTTTTGCAGGCCCTGGTGGGCAGCCCACCTCCAGAGCCCTCCCCCCGTCAGCCTCCCTGCCCTCCCACCATGGCTACAGCTGCTCTTTCTTCTCTTCATCTTCCTCCATCATAGAAGAGCAGAGTTAAAAGGGGCCATGAAGGCCATCTAGTCCAACCCCTGCTGTTGCAGGACACCATGTGACACCCTCCCACTCAGAGGGCTGCCCAGTTTCTTTCCGAATGTCTCCAGTGTGGGAGAGCCTTCCACCCCTCCGGGCAGCTGGTCCCGCTGCCGTATTGCTCTGACAGTGAGGAAGCTTTTCCTGACGTCCAGCCTGAATCTGGGTTGTTGCAACTTGACTTGGTTATTCTGTGTCCTACACTCTGGCATCAGCAGGAAGAGCTCTTGACCTTCCTCTTTGTGGCAGCCTTTGAGGTCCTTATATGGGGATACCATGCCCCCCTCAGTCTTCTCTTCTCAAGGCTGAACATGCCCAGTTCTCCCAGTCTCTCCTCACAGGACAGTGTTTCCAAGCCCTGGGTCAATTCTGTTGCCCTCCTCTGGACCTTTTCCAATTTTTCTGCATCTTTCTGAAATCTTGATGCTCTTACCTTGGCCTGCCAGGCAAATGGCCACAGAGAAGCAAGCCAGGGACTTCCTGCTCCTCCATCACTCCACCACATTGTCCGAGCCAATGCGAGAGGCAGGGAACAAGCAGCAGGTCCTGATGAGCCAAAGTTGAGGGGACCCTTGTCTAGTGCCCAAGCATGCCTACCTGTGGCGCTGGCTAAGGACAGCCCTTCCTGCATTGGTCCAAAACTGATGACCTATCCCAAGAAGAAGAGCATGTGGATGAAGCTCTCACGTACCGTTGGAGCATCCCTTTGGCCGAGTGCCCCGCGCTGGAGCTTTCTGGAGGTCCGCTTTGAGCCGTGGCCGGACCACCCCACGGTCCTTCTGCAAGGTGTCCAGGACATCGCTGACCGAGTTCACCAGCCTGGCCATGTTGGCCTGGCTTTCCGAGAGCAACTGTGTGGTAAGAGAAAAGTTCAAATCTACCGTGACATTTTTTTTCCTTCTCCCCTCCACCTTTTTGAAACCGAACAAAAATCGCCTGACTTTATTGAATTTTCATCAGAGAGTTACTTTTAGAAATTAAGGCAGAAAATGCCTTTCATTTATTATGAGAGAAAATGTGTCAAGTGGAACCACTTTGTGCATTACTTTTATGGTGTGAATAAAATAAAAATTTAATAACAAATGATTTCTCATTGCGTCTTGGTTTCACTGAGAACGAAAAACTCCATGTTAACTCAAAAGACTGCAAATTGTGCTTGGCCTACCTCTAAAAATAGACTAAGGGCCACCAGTGGCTTAAAGCAATCCATCTTTTCTGCCAACATGTTGATTTGGTCTTATTTCTTTAATTAAATGTTTGAATTATTTTAATGCATACAGCGCTTTATTGGAATTGTGTTTATTTGAGTACTCCTAATGCTGGGATCTGGGAACATACTGTGCTGTTTCCTTTTTGTTGCTAAGGACTTTCTGGCCAGGAGAAATGAAACTGCAGGACCCGATGGTGAATTCAACCTGTTTCCAAGGCAGTTCCTTGAAGCAGGTGCAAATTTACTCCAGGCCTGGCCAGACTTGGTGGCAAGAGGAATTTTCCACAGGAGCTGCAGATGCCAGAATCCACTTCAGTGGCCAAGCACAGCCACCTGAAGCTCAGGGCAATGCATGTTTTGAGGCTGCTTGGGCAAGGAATCCTCCACCTCTCACCACCATGGTCACCAGTTCCTCTTGTTCCTCAACTGCTTTCTCATCATTGCCGGGAGACGGGCAGGGAAGAAGTTGGCTGTAACATCTGGTGAGAGGACAGGCTGGACATGCACATGGTGGGCATGTCATGAGCAGAGCCAGCTGGAGCCGGGGGTCAGACTAGATGGCCCGGGAGACCCCTTCTGACTCGGTCTGTTTCTGTGTTTCTCTCCTCTGCTGTTCTTTCTTTCCACCACTCTTGTTTGGCCCAGAGCAAGAGGCACAGGGACAAGCAGGCTGCCATGATGAAGAGGAGAAAGCCCAGGAGGCCCTTCTCTGACGGCTGCTGCCAGTGTGTGGAGCCTTTGAAGGCATCCGGCCATTTTTCCCATTGATTTTTCAATACGAATTTTAGTAGGTAAAAATCAAACCAAAAAAACCCCCTAAAATTGTATAGTTCATTAGCATCAGGTGTGACTATATCCATTGCAATCAAGGCAGCAGCCCTGTGTCTCCCACTTTTGGTTCAGACAGGAGGCCGCCGCGTTCCCTGGCCTCTTGCCGCAGAGGCTCAGCCAAGGCAGGCAGGCGATGCGGCTCTGCGTCCGTTTGCAGATCGCACCTGCAGGCTCCCCTTCGGAGCCTGAACGCTTCCCTGAGTGCTCAGCCCCTGCATTATGGCTGCCCCACTTGCCCTTCCAGCGCTGCAATAGCAGCCTTGGAGCAGTCCGAAGGGCCACAGTTCCTCCACTTCTGTCAGCATCACGTGAAGTCCTGCAAAGCAGGCAAATGATTTTGGAAAGCGTGCTGGGAACGGCCACCTCGGCCCTTGGCACAAGCCCCGGCTTCCGGGAAGCACTGTGGGGCCGCCAGGAGCGCTTCTTCCCAGGGGCACGATCCTTGGCGCGCTGGAGCCAACTCCCTGCAATGCATCAAGCCCCCATCGGCGGCTCTCCCTGTCCCCGTCACTCAACCCCGGCTCCTTCCTCCAAAGGCCAACTCCGAGGGAGGCTGGAAGGGTGACAACAGGCTGGGGGCTTTCTCTGGGGTGCCCCCACCTATGGAACAACCTCCCCAGGGCGGCCTGCCCGCCGCCAACCTTGCCCTCTCTTCATCACAAGGTTCAGGTGGCCCTTTAGGCCAAGGGATTTAACGATTTACTGGGCGGCACCTCCCACCCGGCTGTCCTTCACAAGAGGAAGCGTCTTGCTATCGGTGTGGCTGCTGCGAGTTTTTAAACTTCCCTTTCAGAGACTGCTCAGAGAGCTTCGGCTGAGAGGTGGTCTGAAAAGAACGAGATGGAACAAAGCAAGGACTCTGCAAGGTCCACGTGGCTCTGCAGGCGTCCCACTGAAGAGGTCCCAAGCCCAGGGGACTTCTCCCCCCAAGCCTTCCCTCCTGGCCTCCCCCTGTGCGCCAGCTTAGGGAAGGATTCGCAGACATGGAAGGTGATGGGGAGCACACCTGGCCTGGCTAGGGTCCCAGTTCTGCCCACCTACATTCTGCCGGTGGGCCCTTCTGATGGCCCCACACCTTTCCTCCGACCAGCGATGTCTCGGAGGTTCCCTGGCCATTTTCCTTTTTCTTGTTCCGATTCCCTTCCGTTACAAGAGGCTGTCATGACTGGCGTAAGGCTTAGTTATAGGTAGGAAGAACTTCCAGATACAAGATGCTGGGGAGCAGGGGAAATGTCGCTTCCGCCGCAACCCGGAGAGCAGGGAAAGGCAGCCCCTGGTGCAGGAAGCGCTTCACCCGCAGGCAACCTGGAGCCAAGTTGCTGAGAGTTTCCTGGAGAATTGATAGCCAGCACCGCTGTTCTTGGGTGGGCACCTCATGTTCCCATAGCCCTTCCTGCTACCCTTGGGAACATCAGAAGGTTTTGGAGCCCACCGGCTTGAACCCGTGTGGCCCTGGCCCCGAACCTCTTTCAAGGGGCTCAGGTCAATTCTGCAGAGCCCTGAGTGCCCCCCAGTGCGAACAGCTGTGCTTGCTAACTCTGTTTCTTTGCCATGCAAGGGGCGATTTTCACGGGGGAGTGAAAAGGGAGCCCTCTTCTCTCTGCACATGGTACAATCTCCCCCATTCGTTAACTAACTGGCTGGCTTTGCCTCGTGAAATTCAAATAAATCCCTCTAATCATTTCTAACTGTGTAAAATATAGCTGTAAATTAGCATATACGGATTTATGTCCGAGACTGGACCCGGGCCCTGAATCTTTTACGTGCCTGGCAGCATTCCTTCCAGAGACGCGTCCAAGGCGCACTCTGCGTAAAAGATGTGGCAGCAGTCCAGCCCAGATGAGCTAGATCTTGTGAGTCCCTTGGCAAACCTTGCCCAAATGCGTAGCCCTGCAATGTTCAGCCATTTTGCTTCAGGACTTGGCAGGCTGCCCCGAACTACCGGGAAGTCACGGCTGTTCTTTCTCCTAACCTTGCCCCAGGCACCAGTGCCGAATTCGCGAAGCTTCCTTTGATGACTCCCATCAACACAGAGAAGTTCAGTGAGGTAAGGCAGCATCTTGAGGACTTACTGGCGTGTAGGTACTTTCCAAAACCTGAGCGCAAGCCAGGCCTGCCTTCCCACCCCTGCCCTTGCTTCACCTCCGCGTTTTCCATTCCTGGAGCCCTCCTGTGAGACAACACCTGTTAACAGGCGATGCAGCTTCGCTTTGCTTTGCTTTGCTGCTTGTTCTTGGCAATCTTTCCATTGCTACCTGTGGCCAGAGGATATCTTGCTCCTTATAGCTACATAATTCCTCAGCATGCCCCGTATCAAGCAGGAATACCCGGGCGCCGCACGCGTCTCTCACCTGGATGAGGCGCCCCTGCTCGTTCTGCAGGGCGCTCAGCTCCTGCCCCATGGCGCTGTGCCCCTTCTTCAGGCTGTCGCAGTCCGTCCGGAGCTGAGTGGCGTGCGAGAGCAGCCGGGACACTTCATCCGACAGGCCGCCCAGCAAGGCCCTCGCCTGCCCCGTGGACGCCTTGGCCTCCGCGTCGTGGTCGCTGATGGCCCGCAGGAGGGACGCCTGGAGGCCTTCCAGGTGGGCGAGCCCGTTCCCCTGCTCGGGGCAGTTCGGGTCGATGAAGATGTTGATGCGGGAGCTGTCGGCTTTCTCGATGGTGACCAGGGCGTTGGCCTCGTCGGGGTTGGTGCTGATGATGGGCGGGGACTCCGTGACGGGCGTGTGATAGTGATTCATGAAGAGGATGGCGCCGGTGACGATGACGGCCAAGAGGACGGCCACGGACAGGAGGACCGTGCACAAGACATAACCGCAGCTCATCCGCTGGGAACAAGGAAGGCCCGAGACGCGCGTTAGGCCGTTGGCCTAGTCAGCCCAGCCGGGCCTACCGTGCCGGGAAGCCTTGGCGGGCCAGCCCCCTGGGCCGTCAGGAGTCTTGGCCACCAGGACAGCCCCTTCCCAGCCCTGCTGCGCTTCCACTGGGCAGGAGAGAAGGCGGGGAGGTGGCAGGATTAAACCGCTTCCCCTCTGAGTCATTTTGCTCCCCTGGCTTCCTTTTTCACTCCCCCTTTCCTCGGGGAAGGAGATTCTCCGCGTCGGCCTCAAGACTGGGGTAGCTTCTCCCTTGCCTGGGACTTACCCAGGGAACAAGGAGGTGCTGCACCTGCTGGATCCCAAGCCGTCTCTCACTGCCCTGGAATCCCTCCACTTGAGCCCATGCCCTTTATTTATGTACAAATACTTATATGCTGCTTCTGCAGTGCTTTCCACCACTGAAGGAAGACAAAGCTCCCTCTGGCCCTCCTTCTCTGGCCCTGGAGGAGGAGATGCACTGAATGCTACGGCCCCAGAATGCTCATCTAGTGGCTATTGGGTGACATCCTATGTCCTTTCGAGAAATGCTTTCCCCCAGACCATGCTCGGCAACAGTGGACGCATTTTGATGCAGAAACACGGCTTACAGAGGAACACGGCTTAGAGAAGAAGCCGTGCCTCAGAGAAAAGAAGACAGCAGGTGTCTCTTCTCAAGATGCACAGAGTCCCGCAGGGGAGGCAGCCAAAGTGGATTTCCCAGAATGCCCCTGAGCAACGGTACATCAAGGTCATGGTCTGGAACCAAGAGGGCTGCTGGCTGCCACCAAGGAAACCCACACCCAGGTTCTCCTGATCAGGGAAGGTCCCCCCACCCCCACCCCCTATGAGAAACTTTGCGAAAAGTGATCTATGGGCAGGGGAAAGGAGGAAATTTGATTTCAGGAAAAACTCAGGCAAGAAGATTCAGGTGGGGGGCAGCGGGAGCTGAAGCACATGTGGGCCAGAGGTCAGTCCATACTGGAGGCCCAAATTTATTTCCGCCCAAGCCCACAGAATTGAGGCCTTTGAATTGTGGTGCTGGAGGAGACTCCTGCGAGTCCCTTGGACCGCAAGGTGATCCAACCGGTCAGTCCTAGAGGAGATCAACCCTGGCTGCTCCTCAGAAGGCCAGATACTGAAGATGAAGCTCAAATACTCTGGCCACCTAATGAGAAGGAAGGTCTCTCTGGAGAAGAGCCTAATGCTGGGAGCAATTGAGGGCAAAAGAAGAAGGGGATGGCAGAGGATGAGGTGGCTGGATGGAGTCACTGAAGCTGTCGGTGTGAGCTTAGCTGGACTCTGGGAATGGTGCAGGATGGAAAGGCCTGGAGGAGTGTTGTCCATGGGGTTGCGATGGGTCGGACATGACTTCACGACTAACAACAACAAAAGCCCACAGACAGCAGCCTGGTGGGGCAAAGACCCTCCCAGACATCTGGGGCTCCGAATGAAAGAGTCGGGGCTGCCGAGCAGCATTTCATGCCTGCTCTGGCTTTTGTGTGTTGCTTTCAGGACCTTGTGCAACAAGGAGATGCAGTTGTGAGCCGAGTTCCCCCTCCCAGCAGTAGCACTCACCAGCCCCTCTTGCCAAATGTCTTTTTTTACATGCAGGCCTCTGAGCATGCACAAAGTGAAATGTTGAACCCTCTCTGGCCCTCTTCATCCAAAGCTTTGCTTATGAATCCTTCTGCGCCTGCCCATCGGAAGAGCTCTGTAGAGCTGGGCGCACCTGCGCTCCTTCCTCTGAGAGCCCAACTGGGCCACCCGACGGCTGTGATGATGCCCTCTCAGGTCCACCTCGGGAGGCTGGAGCTTCCCATCCAATGGACTCCCCTTCTCTAATCCTCCAGATGTTCCTCTTCCTCTTTCCCGTGGGCGGGTTGACCGGGCCCCTCGGCTGGACTTGGACTTGAACTACTCTCTTTCCTAGCAGGCATGGGGGGGGGGGGGGGGACTCAGGGCCTTGGACTGCAGCTGCTGCTGAGCCCGTTTCAACAACCATCTTGTTATCAGATCCTGAGCTGTCAGCCCTGCCAGGATGGGCCGTCTCGCCTGCACCCACCTCATTCTCAGAATCTGAGCTGCCGATCCAGCCAAAAAGGTCAGCCTCTCGTGGGCGACCCGGAGGTTTGCCAGAACGTGCACGGACAACAGCTAGCCATCCGACTAGCTGCCTTACTCAGAGTAGGCCTTCTCTCAGTTTCTGCACCCTGCTGCCAACCCACAAACATCCCCACCGACTGGAGAGGTGGGCTGTCCAAAGATGACAGCGATGATAATCCACGTGAAGTACCTTCCCATGAATGTCAAGAGTTATTATTAAATTGATATTATTGATATCGCTTTGAGAAGCACCCTTAGCTATACTTCTCAGATATTCAAATAAGAATCACATAAATAGAGTGGGGGCCAACAGAAGCCTCAAGGAAGGGAGAATATTTTTCTTCCCCGTGTGATCTGGGATTCGAAAGGCAGGGCAGGCCCTTATTATAAAACGGGTTGCCACCTGCATGAAGGAAAGCCGATGCATTTGAGAACCAGGCAGGAGCACATAAACCATGTTCATGCACGCCACCCCACACATGAAGGGCTCGTGCCCATCACTGGCTTCATCCGCACCCACGTCGTGGGAAGGCGGACGTCACCGGTCAAGTGGACCGGCTTCTGCTCTGTTCCTGGGACCTGATTCCAAGGGTTGAGATGAAACTTTCAAGTCTTAGACTGCTTGAAGGTGGAAAGGTTACTTCCCCTCACGTACATGGAATAACGGGCTCCTAGATATCAGGAAAAATTGCCTGAATGGTAAAGCAGTACAGTAGTGGAACCAATGACCCAGAGAGGTGGCGGGCTCTCCCTCCCTGGAGGCCTTCAAGATGCAGCTGGAAGCTGGAAGGGAAGCTGTAACTGGGAGTCCTGCGCTGAGCAGGGTGCTGGAGCAGGCGGCCCTCTGGCCCCTCCCAACTCTGCCGCTCCCCAATTCTGCGATTCCAGAATTCTGTGCTTGCCTCCATCTTAAGATCCACCTCCCCCTCAGATCCAGGAGCTCTTGCCAGAGGAGGCAAGGCAAAAGTCTACTAAAGTCTACTAAAGGAAGAGACTTTTTGAGGATGGCTCCCCAGCTGTAGCAGGTCCTCCCCAGAGAAGCTCACCTGATTGAAGACCTTCTTATTTTCCCAGGCTTTTCTGCCCTTCACTTTAAGGTTTCTTTTCAAAGGGGCTGTTGTGTTTTGCTGTCTTTACCCTGCAGCAGCCTATAGATTTGCTTGGAAGGAGGTGAAGCTTTCATCTTCGTTTTTACTATGACTTTTGTGAACTGGGCAGTCTAATAACAGGTAAAGAGAAGCCAGTGATACGGAGAAGGCGTCAAGGAAGGCATGGCTGCCTCTGGGCTGCCGGCCGGCTCCTTCGTCCCTGCTTTGTGCGAGGGTCTTACATCCCAGGCAGCCCGACTGAAATAGCCCATCCCGCTCTAACCAGACTCTGAATTGGAATATGAGGCCCCAAATCATTCTGATTCGGGGTGCTGATTGCCGTCTGTCCCTCGGCCGTTTCCCCAAGGCCTTCCTGTAGCGGGGACACCACAAGTCCCCTTTGAGAAGGAAAAATTAAAAAGCTCGCTTTAAGACAGATCACCCGCCAAAGAGCTGCAAAGAATACGTCTGGCAAGAGATGGCAGGGAGCCAAGCGGCGCATTACTCTCCGTGCATGTAATGCTATCTTCTTCTGGACAAAGGAAACAAAAGCAGCCAAACAAACAAGCAAGCAGAAACCCTGTTCCAGGGGTTTGATGAGCGGGAAAAAGGCAAGTGGGACCGGTTTCCTGGTCCCAGACGTGCATCCCGGAAGCTTCTCCCTCCCAAGCCGGCACCCTCCCAAGGGGGCCGGGGGCAAAGCGGCTCCCTGCCAGTTTTCGCATGGGGAAGAGCAGCCGCTTCCCGGCCCAGCACGGAGCAGAGCCTCCAGGCACAGCCTGGCACTAGCTGGGGCTGCTGGTGGCCGTGGCCATGGCAGCATCAGGCACTGCGGGCCCCCGGGGGGATGGGGGCTGCGGGCCCCGGTGGGGATCCAGCTGCTCCCTGGAGCCACGTGAGGAGGGAGGACAAGGCCATCTGGAGCTTCCCCATGATGCACGTCGTACCTTCCCAGTTGCTTCCACTTCCCCTCTCAGCCAAGGGGCAGGATCGCGAGGAAGGGCAGGCCTCCGCGGGGGGCCCGCCTGGGAACGCTGCCGGCTCTGAATCCCAATTGCTGGCCCACCTTGCAGGGCTGGTTTCCCGAAACGAGGGGCGTGCAAACAGCACTCAAGAGGAGCAGTGCTCTGCAGATGGGATTTACTGCGGCTGCAACTTCGGTTAGTACCACAACACCCTTTCACAGCTTACCTTACAATATTGGGGGACACTTTTTGAAAAGAAAGATTAAAAGTCATCAAGGGTAGTGTTTGCTTTCATAAGTCTCCTTTTTTCTTCTCGTGAGGGAGCCAAAACAGCATAGGTGGTCCTCCTCCTCCTTACTTATTTCCACACAACAACCCTGTGAGGTAGGTTAGGCTGAGAGGCAGCGACGGGCCCAAAGGCACCCAACAAGCTTCAGGGCTCAGTGAGGACTAGAACCTGGATTTCCTGAGTCGCAGCCCAACCCTCTCGTCACTGGCCACACAGACTTGTCCATGGCCAGACTCTTCCCTGCCTTCCCCGTCCTAGGCCACGTCTGGGTGACCAATGCTTGGGCCACGGAGAGCTTTCCCGGGCAGCTTGGCCGGAGCTGCAGTTTCAGGAGCCTGCTCAGCAAAATCTCCCCCAGGAGGGTCAGGGCAAAGGCGCATTTCCGCAGCTGCATTTTAAAGCATCCCCCTTGAGGGCCACCCTCCGCATCTTGCGCTGGCAAAGGGGCAAGTGGCAAGGCCCGGTTTCAGCAGGGGGCATCGCCTGGAGCCGCCCTCCGCTCACCCTGAGCGCACCCCTGCCGAGGGGACACGGAGCTTCATGACTTTTTAATCAAGCCGGTGGTTTTCAGCGCTCAGCATCTACTCTGCGGTATGAATCATGAATCTCTTTCCTTAATATAGAGCAAAAAGAAGAGACAAGGAGAGCAGAAAGGAGGCAAAGGGTGAAAGCCAAGGCAACTTTTTCTCTCACCTCAGTGAACCTGATTTGGAAGAGGCCAAGTGTGCTGCTTTCTCTCCAGACTGGGGTTTGTGGAGAGAGTTACAGGGCCTGCAGCAGCTGCAGGTCCTGGACTGCCCTCGGGTGAGGCATCTTCCGGGAGCCACCTCCGTGGAGGGTGCAGCAAGACTGGGATTCTGAGGAAGATGACGGGGCGGGGGCAGGAGGGGGCCACTGAGAAAGCAGAGATGGGAGTTTTGGGAAATCAGGAAGAGATGCAGGCCTTCAAAGCACCCCAGGGTCACAGCCCCATTTCCCAGGCCCACCAGGTGAGCAGGAATGCTTTGGAAGAGTTGGGAGCCAGTCCCTGGCCAGGTGATGAGGCATCAGGAGAGAGGAGCTGCCCAGCCAGAGGGCTTGTGTGGGTCTCGCTGGCTGGCCCTCTGAGCAGGAAGCCCGGAGAGTCACTGAAAGGGGAGGCTTTGGGGGAGAAGTCGCCAGATTGGGTTCAGCGACTCTCATGACATGATCAGAGGCTAGATTTCCAACTCACTAGAGGGCTTCTGCAGTTGCTTTCTCCTGCACTTGCAAAGCACCAATAAAGACCTCCACCACAAAGAGACTGTTCGGGGCGTTGATGCTGAAGGGCAAGAAGGGAAGGGCTGGGCTGGGCCTTGCAGCGTGCGGCCCCTTGGCGGGGGGCCAGCCAGGAGGAATAGCCTTGCAGACATGCATCTTTGGCAAAGCCCCTTGACATTGGCCCTGTTGCTCACACTATGGCTGCCTGCTTGCTTCCTTGCTCGTGGGTCAGAGAGCTAGTTGGCTGTGAGCAAACAGGTGGCTTTTAAGCAAAGTAAGCAAGCAAGCAAATAGACAAACAAACAAATTTTTTTGTACTGGCCCTAGACAGAGGGAGTGTGGCTGCGGACGGTCCTGAATGGTGAAGATTTGTGATGTCACGCCTCTGTGTGCCACCGCTTGGTCAGCTCCCCTGCTTCCCATAGTCTAGGACCTCAATACTTGATGAACGACCTGCAATCTACCTGTAATTATGGTCAAAACTGAAGCACTTCCTTGGGGCAGCCATGGGCAGGGGCTTCTCGGTGGTGACTCCCCAACTCTGGAATGATCTGGCCCAGGAAGGACCATCAGGGACAGGCAATGCTCTGCACCAGAACATTTCAGCTGGTTTTAACATGCTTTGTAAATTTTGGTATGGCAGATGTGTTCGGGTGTTTCACTGGGTGTTTTGTGGACTGTTATCAACCACCCCATCAGCCCAGATCGCTACAGCGAGCGAGCATTTTCACCCGTGGCAGTGCAGCGATTCAGTCCAGAGTTTGATGGTCACTCTTACGTCTTTGGCGTGTGCCTCTGAAGAGATACCAGCCTGTAACAGGGGGCAAGTTCTCCGCAATCCACACATTGGAAAGACAGAGAAAAAGGCAGGCAGGTTTGCGCTCTAGGAGCACGAGAATTGTGGCGAGGGAACGGCGTGAGCGACAGCTGAAGCCATGCTTGATTGACTAGCATATGTACATCTGTCGCTCAAATTATGAGCACTGGGAAAAGCTGGGCTACCGTTTCTCACTAAAGGAGGCTCTGTGAGTTCTCCTTTTTTCCTTTTAAATCTGTCTCCCCTAAAAGATGTGATTGCCCCCCTTCTCCCTTCTCTAAATGTGTTGGACTGCCGCTCCCATTCTCCCCATCCAGCATAGCCGAGGATAGGTGTTCCATCCAACAGATTTGGGGGTGTGAGGAACGGGCTCAGGAAGCAGCCCTGAGCAGGAGGGACCGGGGAGTCATCTTGCCATAAAAGCCACTTCCTTGCGTCGTACCTCTGAAAGAATCCAAAATACAGTCTTGCTTTTCCATACAAAAGGAACAGGCTGTCAAGTTTCTGCACACATGTTAGGGAGAAGCAGTCGAGTTTAGCTTCCCCACTGGCATGTTTGAGTCAGCATGCAGGGAATGGTTATTATAAAAATAAAAATAGAAGGCACTGCATCACAAGCTCCTCCACAACCGCAGTCTGGCCACGGGTCTCGGCAACAAGAGGTGCCCCCTGCACAGGTGTGCGAAGCCAAATGGGACCCCTTCGATGCCGGAGAGGAGACTTCGCGCTCTGAAGCTTGCTGGACTCCAGAGACCTGACCTGATTTTGCCTGTGGCTCTTTTTGCCCATTATCTGCTGCTAGTCGAAGGACTTTGCTTTACGTGGGCTGGAAAAAAACCGCTTTGCTACGTACGAGGAAACCTTAAACAGTTGTCCAAGTTGGATGACTTTGGAACCTAGGGAGGGTAGCTAGATGGCCCTAGACAGAGTGCACCCCAGAGCTCCCCAAGGGGGCATCTGTCCCCCCCGTTTCCCTGTGTGGGGCTGCCCCTCACCTGCTCATCTGCCCCCAAGCAAAAAGGGGTGGGCCCACAGCCCTGGAGTCCCCCCACCCTGGAGACCTGCACACATAGCCCCGGGTCTCCAGTCATCCCATTGGCCCATGGGAAGCTGGGCGACATTCCTTTTCCTTCAGAGGGAAATGCACAAGCAGTGAGTCTATGGAAGACGAGCAAGCTTCTAAAACAGGGCAGCCAGTCCCCTGAGGGTGGGGAGAAAAGAGCACAGCTGCACTTAAGGGATTCCAGAGCCAACCTGCCGCTCCTCTCCAAATGGCAGGCTGCGAAGCCGACTCTCCCCTTCCTGTCCGTGCATGCATCCAGCCTGCGGAAATGGCATCTTGAACCCCGGCTGTGCCTCAGGGACTGAACGAAGGGTGCCTGACAGTCCAGGCTTCGCACCGCCCAGAGATGCCTCACTAGCAATTTCACTAGAAGTGTTGGCTCACGTTGGAAAAGTCGTAAAGGTTTGGAAAAATAGAGACTGCAGTCAAGTCCTTCGAAGAAGTTTGAGGCTGGAAAAGGAGCGATGAAGGAACTAGAAAAGATCTTCCAGTATAGGGGTGTTTCACTGGAGACGAAGGAAACAACGGGCGCATTGGAAACACTGGTGCTGGGGAGAGCTTTGTGGACATCCCCACTGACAGACAAAGGTGTGGGTCCTGGATCAAGTCCAGCCAGAGCTTTCCCTGGACGCAAAAATGATGAAACCGAGGTTGTCCGAGTCTGGGCACACCCTGAGAAGTCAAGACTCCCTGGAGAAGAGAATCCTTCCAGGGAAAATCAGAAGCAGCAGAAGGAAAGGAAAACCAGCGAGGAGATAGATGGATTCCTTCTGGGAAGGAGACTCGAATTTAGAGGAGCTGAGCAGGGTCCTCAGGATTGGACATTCTGGGGGGCCTTCATGCCCGGGCTTTCCAGCAGTTGCAGACAACTTGGCGGCACATGACAACAGCAACAAAAATAGGTACAACCTGCACATCAGGAAAAGCCAACCTGCCCTTGTCACCTTGCTGAATCTGGGGTGACACGGACTGTAATGA